AATTGTATAAAAATATCAAAGCAAGAAAAAAGGAAAATGTATACTCTACAGTTCTATCTCTAGAATCAGCTACTGGACAGTATCTACAGCTGTAGGTTTTTACTATAAATCTATGCATATCAGTGTGTGACTCTGTCTCTGTACCATCACACATATACTCACTCAAAGACAAGGACACAACTATACAAATACCTACCCCAAGATAGATCATGGCAGAGAAGCAAAGACTCTACAATAATGTGCCTCCAGGGCAATCTATTTAAAAGCCAATCCATAGCTTTTGGGTTTTAATGGGCTTTTTAAATTTTTTATTGTTATGTTAATCACCATACATTACATCGTTAGTTTTTGATGTAGTGTTCCATGATTCATTGTTTGTGTATAACACCCAGTCCTCCATGCAGGCTTTATTTTAAATGAATTATCCGGCACCATAACCTGACAGAGAAATGCTCCTGCAGGTTAAGAAGCCCGCTCCAATGAAAATACATGGGTGAAGTTCAGTGATCATGGCTGAAGCTGACCAAAGGTGAGGGCCTCCATGAGGGCACCAACTGGTCTGCTCCAGCCAGCATTTATCCCCAGAGATGCACGATCTTCCCAAAGGAGGTTGAATAAGTGTGCCCCGAGGGAGATGAAAGGGCCCCCACACCAACCCCTGCTCCTCCTGGCTCAGGGGATAGCAGTCTAGGCTGGGTCCAAGTTCATTGAGGAAAGCCAGCCATGGCCAGTGTTGATCCACTTCTACTTGGGAACAGTAACCAGAATAAATGTAAATTCATCTCAAATACATCTGCAATATTTAAATGAAAAATGGGAGAGGTGGGGGCAGATTAGTTAAAATAACAAGGAATTAATAATGTTTAAATTGACTTCCATGAATTTTTCAGTCCAGGTCTCCCCCACTGTACCCACTCTTGTTTAATGTAAAAGCAAGTTGTTCTTTCAATGAAACAATTCTTGATGACGGCAGACTTTCCTGGAGAAGGATGCAGTCTTTTAAAAATGTCTAATGAGAACATCCAGAGGACTGCTTCCCATTTTTTTCTAACGTCTCTGAACCCAAATTAACTGAACTCTGTCAAATGTTCTAGGTGGCTCTGCTACCATTCTAATTTTACTGTTACCTCCAATGCTCAGGGTCTTTGGCGAGAGGAAATCTTAACAACTGAAATCTGTTCTTGGCAGGTAATATGTCCCTGGCTCTCAGAGGGATGTTTCATAGAAATATTGTCCTGTTCATTACATTTTTTTCATTAAGTTCATTTTCTAAGTGATAATGAGGCCTTTAATGATGGAGCAATATTGATGAATCGTATTACTTTCCATTTATTCACACATAAGATTCAATATAACATCATTATTGCAACATTATGTTCTTTAATGTCCAATTTTGCTGTGGTTTAGTGCTGTACCCACCATAATATCAGCAGAGCAAAACTGGGCAATGATTCCCCACGCTGCACATATAGGGTCTCCTATTTGCTGCAAGATGGTTCACTTTGGATTTTAACTATTTCAACTTGGATTATAAATAAATCCACTGGTATTTCATATAGATTGGTGTCATCAGCCCTTTTGGAAGAACAATTTCAGATAAATCCTGTTTTGTTTTGTTTTATTTTATTTTTCTTAGATCTAAAAGCCATAGAGAGGTTTTCATTTTTTTATTTATTTTTTATAAACTTGGCTCTGACAATTTTCCCCCAAACCACCTGCAATTTCTATCCCTTATGATAAGCTACTGATGTCACTAGGGTATGTCTGCATATCTTTAGAAAGTAAGCCTTTAGTGATATGCTTAGCATATAGGAGATGTTGGGCTTCGTTGGCACTCACAGGTGGATAGTGGAATGCAGCTGGACAGTTGTGTACCTGCTTCCTGAATGCTGACTGTGTGCTGGGCCCTCTTGGGGGGGAGCGCAGCACTGCAACTTCTATTGAGATGTGTGGGGATCTCAGAATCAGAACAAAGTTTCCAACTGGAATCCCCTTTATTGGGGACATAATACTGCATACATAGGCTTTAATCTCAGAATCTTCTCTCTCTCATTATGAGAAAAAGATTTAGTGCTTTTTTTTCTTTTGTTTTCTCCCCATAGTCCACAGGAGACATTATGAAGTCGTTTATCATGTAAATCTCTGCTCAAAGGTGAAGAATAGAAGAAAATATATATTCTATCTATCATCTATCTATCTAAAGAAAAGTGATCCATGACAGAAGTGATACAAAAAGACCAGTATTCTTACTCCCAAAATACGGATTACAAAATTGGTCTCCATCTGTTTGTCTGCATTCTGCCACACATCCCATCATAATGTTGCTCTTGACTTGTTCACTCTTCTAATTTACTAAAGGTATGGTTCTAGGTGGAAAATATAATACAATGGCTTTAGTTCTGCAAATGAAATAAACAGGTACACTAGATTCTTCTTTGGCTCTCAGATGTTAGATACTATTTTACTGTTTAAGTATATCAGGTCCTTAATGGGATCCTGTCAGATGTTTTCAATAGTTTTTAAAAGCTCCAAGAATGAAATGGATAATGGAAGAAAATCCATTTAAATTTAATGGGTTAGAAATGAGTCTCTTGCCTGCTGCCATAAGTTATTAGGGTTCATAACCTAAGAAAGGTTGGCATGAATAAAAGATGGAACAAAGACTTCCTTACGGATCAGTCATTATGCCTCAAAACATACCTCATCCACAAAACCTGGATGTGGAGCTCTTTGGTGACACAGGGACCCAAACTTTAGGGTCAGCTTCATTTGAAAAGTGTTCCACCCAGGGACATGTAGAAATTGTGGTTTGTCAATGATGGAATTGTCCCTACTGCTTTCTCCACATACTGGTCAATTCTTTTTTTTTTTTTTCCAGTTTTACCCAAAGCTTTATTTGTCCCCCATGTATGTTGAAAACCTCTTAATTATTTATTAATGAAATAATAAACATCTGGATCTTTAACATACTCCACCATAAAATCATGTGAGGGAATAGTTAAAACAAGAATGGCAACAATTTTATGGTTTGTTGGGGCTGCATAGCGGGAAGGTTGTATTATTCTCTCCACTTTTGTGTGAGATGAAAATTTCCATACTGGTCAATTCTTAATTCAGGTGTGTAAGCCCTTGCTTTCTAAGTGACGTGACAGTGTAATACTGAGTAAGATGCCAGACTCCATGTGATGGAAGAATGTGTGTCCCATATCACTGCTCCTTTGGAAGCTGTTTCAAGAGAACAAAAAGACCAAGAAAGTGCACCAGCGCTTTGGAAATATTTTTCTTCCAGTCAATACTGACTTGGGATCTTAATTTCAATGTTTTATCAACTCCAGTACTAATGTATACTACAATAATACATTGGTTTATATTTTTAAAAAGTAGATAATTTTGCAGTTTTACTCAATGTCCCTTCAGAATACTTTTTAAGGATTCAAAGATAAATTACATGGAGTTTTGCTTCTCCACACTGAGAATTCCAAGCAGAGTTCTATACTGAATGAAACTCTCTTCCCATTCTTTTTCAGCGAATTAATGACTTAAAGCAAATGGAAAACATTACCATCTTTATTGTTGCTAGAAAAAAAATGGCTATATTCCTGTTTCTTTTTCAGATATTGTTTAGTCTTACTTGTTAAGAGTATAAAAGGGAAGTTGTAAGCTTTCTGTTTTGACCGGCTGCAAAGCTCTACATACAAAAGTACAGAACAGAAATGAGGTAAAATGTTCAGGTTCCAAGATGAAAAATTTGACATGTCCTGGTTGTATTTCATTCCTATACAAAACCATACCACCTCAAAGAGCATAGTTTGCAAACTGATGTCCCATGGATGGAGTACAGGTCATAGGCATGCTTTTTTTGACCAGCACAGTCTTTGGAGATTTCTGGACTCATTGCCAACATTCAAAAATTTGGAGAGGGTTTATAGAAATCCTAGGTACCTAGGAACCCCATTCCTACATAGCACTAATCCTGCTGCTGACTAGTAACAGCCCCCTTTTCACAACACACACCTCAACATACAGAAAGCTCCAATTCCTCACAGTCCCTACTTCTCCTTGCTGCCTCCCTGGTACCAATTGCCGTTGATCACAATAACTCTGATACTACATGGCTTGCTTTACTCATTTACTTGACCACTGGGCCCCTGATTTGAATTTGTGACCACATTATTTACTGTGGTTACTGTTAGAAAAGCATAGGGAGCAACAGAAAAATTTGTGTTATTACAAGGCAAAATGTAAAGCTGACCAAAGAACAGTGTTTAAGTATCAGTACAAACTGGGCATTTTACACAAGAGTTCTTCAGATCTTTCTGTTGGGGGATATTTCAGTGAGGCAAGAGGCCCTGTAGACTACATACACAGTCTTCTTTCTGTCTGAAGAAATAGCAACATTTTGCTTTAGTAATAAGAAGATTCTTTAAATGTTTGTTTGGGTGTTTTTAATGTAGAAATTCAATCTGCAATGGGGAAAACACCTAAGCCTACCATCTAGCTCTCTCTCTCTCTCCCTATTACTAACCCCACTCCATCACCAGCATACTCACGGGGTTTCCCCTTGGGAAGGACTCAAAGATTTCTTTGTGAACCATAACCACCTTTTAAGAATGAGTTTTATCCAAATCACACCATTGAGACTCATAACACTAACTGTTACTTAGACCCCACTGGATCCCATTTTTGACTTGGATTCCCGGGGTGTATCTTTATTCTCTTTCCACGCTACATCCATGAATCTTTCTTTTGATTTGTGCTATTAATTATCTCCTATGTGTTATTTTTAAAGACTCACTAAAATGAGAAGAAGTATTTGACATATCTCCCTGATACTAATTCCTTTAGCACTTCCCTGAATAGAAAGAAGAGTGATTAAGTGAAACCGTAAATATCCAAAAGAAGAGGACTGGCCAGTGGTAAAAATTTCAGTAACCACCTAGTCATGGATGCTACCCAATGAAAACAATGTGTCTCCCACCTAAATAGTATAGTCATCAGCGGATACATTCAGGTTTATATTAATGAATGCACAGATAAATTAAGCATTTACAAATAAAGAGTCCTACAGGATAAACTCTTTTAAAAAAAAAGAATTTCATATATAAATGGAAAGACAAGCATAAGAATAATTTTTAAGTCTGAAAGAAAATTGGAGAAAAATAATGTTTCTGACTCAGGAAAGGAACAACCAGAGACTGGAATCATCGTCTTAGCTGATGAAGGGCCAGCACGGCTGTATCCACCATCAGTAGCCAGTACAAAAGTAACAATTTGAAGGAACGGCATCGACAGTAGTAAAATGGCAATTACTCTGCACGTGGCTTTTTCAGGCCGCCCTCAGCATATCCAGGATGTCCATCCTCATCAGGCCAGACAGGTGCCTTGAAAGCCAGGGCATTAGCAAAGAATTCTGAGGAAGTCCCTTCATGTTTTGTTTCTGTTTGTGCAAAAAGCTCAAGTTGTTTTATTTGCCTGGGGGAGGATTTCCCCAGAGTTCTTAGACCTCAAACCAGCTCCCAGAGAGCCGTCTCTTGGAAGGAGGTGGCATGAGGGAAGGCCAACTGTGGGGGAGCTTGTTTCTGAAACTTGTACACCTTCCCCAGATATGGGTCTTTGTGGAAGGAGGAGGAGAATGAAGAAGCTCAAGTAAAATGATGCAAGACACTGGCAGCCTCTTTTATTGTATGTGAGGTGTGTTTTACTCTTCTGAATCTGAAAAAAAGAAAAAGAAAAAGAAAAGTGTCAATGCTGCCTTTCCCCCCACCCTTCTCCACCCTCCGGGTCTGAGGAGAAGAAAATCTGTGGAACAAAAAAAAAGGGGGAGGATCAATTAAACATTTCCATACTAGTCAGTGCTATCTCCTTTGTAGCACCGTTTGCTCTGTTCATAAAGGGAAACTCTCAGTGGAGAATTTTAAACACTGGTTACATTCGAAATCTTCATAGTTACTTTCAACTTGATTATCAAACATTTGGTTCATGCAATATGGATACTAAAATACCTTATTTTGCAACCAAGATGACAGTGACTGCCAGGTCTGGCCAATATGCCTCAGGGGTCAGTGGGATTGGAAGAAATAGATTCAACAAATCCCAACCATTTCCATACCAGAAGCAATATTCCTCTCTCAGAATTTTTGCACACCCACCTCCCCCTCAAAAGCTTCCCCAAGAAGATTTAAAGCAAGATGTGTCCCAACTGAAATCATTATGCAGTTGGGTAAATCACCTGACTTCTCTACTGGACCCAGAGTGAGGTGGTGGCGGAAGAAGACAAAGATGGAAACAGGACTAAGGTAATGGAAATAGACAGTAGTGGATTTTTTTTTTTTCCCACCTGGCATACTCTACCCCATGCAAGCTCACTAGGCTTGGACAGAATTTCTAGAAAGCAAGCAGACAAACAAAAACCAACATGTTATTTCTTCCCATAAATGTTGCAGGGACTGCAAGTCATCATGCCTATGGTTAGAGAGGGTTCCCTCCTGTGCGGGGCTCCAAAGGGAGAGAAGTACAGTGGCTTAGTTTTTAAGGATTACACCATTTACCTACAGAAATGTTAGGAGTCATTAGTGGATAAGGAACATTTCATATTCAACTTGAAAGACTAAGATACTGTCCTAAAGGGGACTTAGGTGAAATTAGGCAGCGAACTAGTTGAGAAATAGGAGAGTCCTAGCTGATCTTTTTTAATTATTCTCAATTCTCAATTTTCCGGGGTCCATTGATCCAATCTTCCTGTTGTACCTTTCTTCATTCTGGTCCCATGCATGTTTACCCTCTGTCAGCACCTTCACCCATTCAGCAGAAGTAACAGAAAAGAGAAAAACTTCTGACCAGTTTACTCTGATGCTAGCACTGGCAGTGAGGGAAGTGACCAGTTGCCTCTCTGGAAATTCCCAGGGAGGGAAAGGGGTGAAACAAAAGCTGAAATCAAGGACTAGAAACCTCCCCCTGATTCTGATCATCTGCACGATTTGGTCTGGGTGGGAGTTGCCAGGCAGCACTCCTCCTTAGTGCTTTGGCCCCACCATTATCCATTTCAGGTCATATGTAATGAGACTCCTTTCAATCATTATAGCACTAACCACCTTAGGAGATGTCCCCATGCCCCCGAATATAAAACCCAATTTTATTATGATGATATAAGTCTGAGGTTGATTTTTCAATAATTGACCAACTGGTTGGAAGGATGCTAGGGAGAGCTGACAAGGACCACTGTTATACCCAGTGAGCCTCAATTAGCCAACAAGGGAAGGGATTCACATGGCCTCCATGAATGGTGGCTAGCTGTCCAGCCTGTGGGGTTTCCAGAGATGGAAAGAAGTCCATCTATGATCTTAATGGACCCCAAAGGCTCTTGAAAGACCTTTCTCCTTTTCTAGTCATTGCTTCTGAGTGAGATGAGAAGTGACCTGGCTGTGGATCTCCACCTTCCCCTCCACAGTCTTCTGGTCAAGGCATGGAGGGAAGAGGTGAATAAAGGAAACATGTGTCTAATGAACATGTGTTCATTAAGTACAACCAGCAGTAAAAGATGCTCTGTAGCTGGGTCTGGGACCCGAATGACCGTCCTAGCCATCCCAAACACACGCTCTGTCAAAAGTAGCTTCCCTTTATAAATCTCTTAGGGCACTTGCTGTAAGGTGCCTCATATCACAGCTACCTGCAAGATGTAGATTCCTTGAGGGCAGGGAAAACATCACTCATCTTCATAATTCTTTGCGTATATTACAGTGCCTGATGCATTGCACATGCTCAACAAATTATTTTTTAACTGAAAGGAAGTGAATGAAATAAGCATCAGATAGATGGGACAGATACAGAAGCATAACAATGAGTAGGAAGTCCCTCGCCACCCTTTTTGAAAATCTTTTCATAGCAGGAAATAAAAATTAAAAAGAAAATCATAAATGTATTTATTTTATATTTTATTCAAGAGCAAGGTAGGATATGTCAAAAATGTGTATTTCCTTTGAAGAACTTGCCCCACTGTGGAGACTAATGTCCCGGAGAAGAGGCACATGTTGTGTAGGTGGCGTTGACATGCTCTGTAAGTCAGGCTTGCTCCTCACTCACTCCACACTTCCTCCCCTCACCACTGAGTGTCCTATATTTGCTTTGTTGTGGTGTGGCTTGGTGTCTCTGTTTTCAATTTAAACTAAAGTTGGATAAGCATTTTAAGCTAAAATTGGGTAAGACCACAAAGTATTATGAAAATAGTAAGTTCCTGAAGACAAGTAAGTGGCCACTCGGTATTTAACTGAGATGAAGGATTATTTTTTGTTCTAGGGTCTTTGAATTCCATTGATTGTAAATCTATGTTGGCTTTTTGGAGGCCACAAAAAGCAGTGAAACTCACCTACCTTTTTATGATTGATAAGCAGAAATGGAAAATATCTTCACCTAACTTGGGATAATTCGAGAAAATATCTAGGCGAGTGCCATCCACCCACCCACCCTTTGACCAAAGACTTCTTATGTCTCACAAAGGGGCAGCCACAGAGGCTCTGAATCCTGAGGCACATGCTGTATGAATTCCCAGAAACGTATTTACTCTACGGAAATGAACAACAAAAAATGTTTCAGCAACTTCATTTGGAGAAAAAGGAGGTGGAAACTGACAACAGTGTGGCCTTGTTTATCCCACACTTCCCACGCTACTCCTCCTACAGGTAAGTGGAGATGCTGTATGAAACCATTTTGTTTAAAGATGATTGTTTTAAGAAGAGGCTTAAATTTCGATTTAACGTGATTTGACTCTAAAAATGTGTTTATCTGTCATAATGTTTATTCCTAGATCATCTACGAGGCAGGCCTCATAGGAATCTGGCACCAGGCTTGAAAAACAACTGTAAACACTTTTCTTTTTCATTTTTCTTGGTTTTGATTTTTTACAGCCTGATTCAACTATCATCCAAGCTCAAAGAAATAAGCTGACTTGGCCGAGAACAGAGCTGGGACTCAAACCAGATTTTCAGGTTCCAGAAACTCTACCATAGCTGCCTCCGTATTGAGTCAACTTTCTGTGAAAACAACAAAATACAGTAAGCAATGGAAAGGAAGAATAAATGTGGCAAAACCAAACCCAATTTTAGATGTATAGTAGAATTTCTGTGGGGCTTATAAGTGGGTTCTGGTTTGGTTTTGTTTTTTAATAATGAGGAAATGCTAGAAACAAACATTATTTTAGATATAGCTGATAGAATTTATCTAGGCACAGATTTCACTGTTTAGGTTGTAAGTACTATTTTAAATGGTTATCACTAAATATCCAAAAGCATATATTGCCTGCTTTCTCCTTGCCCCAAATGATAACGGATATGATTACAGTATGATTATTCTAAGTGAATTTCACCGCATGGAATATTAATGCTACAGCCCTGCTGCGATAGATGGGTGGATGGATGGATGGATGAATGAACAGATGGACAAACAGACAGAATAAGTGAGTAAGTAAATTTATGGGAATATAACTTCCTGAAACCTTGCCTATGCCAACATGCCAAGCTCTTAAAATGTACCCATTTGATCCAAATACACAGAATAAAAACAGAACAAAAGATGGCAGTTTTTAGCTCCAACCCTTGCCCAATGTTTTCTTTTCTTTTGATCCATGACATCTGTGCTACCACTGAGAATAATGATGGTATTAAAGTTTTATTCTCTAACTTTTCTGCTTGTTCTTTCCCTTTACACAGCATGGTCTTTCCAAACTGAAAATCTGTGAATAACTCGCTCTCTTCTGCCCCACACTGCCCAAGGTGTTTTACTGTTGTTACTCTCTTATTAAGAAACTAGTACTGGGCGCCTGGGTGGCTCAGTCGTTAAGTGTCTTGCCTTCGGCTCAGGTCATGATCCCAAGGTCCTGGGTTTGAGCCCCTCATTGGGCTCCCTGCCCCGCGGGAAGCCTGCTTCTCCCTCTCCCACTCCCCCTGCTTGTGTTCCCTCTCTCGCTGTGTCTCTCTGTCTGTCAAATAAATAAATAAAATCTTAAAAAAAAAAAAAGAAATTAGTATTTTAACGCTTAAAGAAACAATGAAAACATTCAAGTCTGCAAGTGTCCAGGGCCTGGCCCACTCTTCAGAGGTAAGTAAATATCAGGCATCAACAGCCCCTACCACTCTTTGGGGCAGGTGAAACGACCTAGGGTTGTCTGCATACTTAAGTTTTGTTTCTGATCAGTCTTTGAATCTGCTGTTTTTGAAGCCAACAAGAAGCCAGAGACCAAGAAAGTCCTCCATAGAGACCAAGAAAGTCCTTCAGAAAAGTTAAGTGAGGCTGGAATTTTAGACCTGAAACATTATGACTGCTCTTCATGCTTTTCTCAATTTTATTAGTTCAGGAAAAGCAATATAAGATTCAAAATAAGTGAAAGAAAAAAGAGAGATTTTTTCTCAAGTTTTCACTGTGGCTCCAGAGTAGAAGATAAAAATAGCATGTATTGTAGAGGGCTAATACTTATGAAATACAGATGTCATCACTTGAAGATCGTGGTGCCCTTCTGTGGAGAATGCTAAGAATAAACACAGAGAGGAAGCTTTGATACTTGCTTGATACTGCATTTTTAACAGTTCTCCTAGTGTGTGGGTGTCTAGAAAAGAAATGGCATTAACAATGTAGACAGGGCTAGCTCCTGGAATTGGCACATATTTATTGCAAAGGCAGCTGTTGTTTTAAAGAATTTTTTATAATGTTAATAGAGTTTCTTT